ATTTTCGCGACCCAGTCTAATGTATACATATCTAGTAAGGTGTATTTTTTTAGATTTTTCAAAGTTGTCGTATACATTCAAAACCACGCTCATTTGAAAGAATGATCCTTTCTATTTTATTTTACTAAACACTCTGTTATGAGATGAAAATGTTTATATGGAAGGACCTTGATAAGATGTCTGAAATTCAGATATATTTTGCAAATATATAAACAAATGTATACGAACTTTTTTAATGATTATGGTTCTGTTTGAGAATTATATGAAATTTAGATACATATATCGTTAATTTTTAGGGGGTGTGTAGGCCGAAAACGGTAAAAATTGAAAACCCCCGATTTTCCAAAACGTTTTGCCGACCCCTAAATCGTAGCCGAACCAGATTTTAAAAGTCGAATGTCCCAAGAAAAGGCGACAAACACTTCGGTAATATGGAGCATAATCAAAATTCTCCATACAAATAAAGCTGTGGTTTTAGGGCACTTTCTGAATAATACTTTATTCTCTTCTAAAAAAGGTTGCGGAACAAACGTTGTGAGTGAATAGCTTTTCTACCATAATCCACAATAAAATCTATTTAAATATTTTAACTTTGGCCCTAAAATTTCCACGCCCATTTATAGGTGCTTGCCGCCTTAAGCAGACATTTTTTCCGAACAAACATTCTTACCGGATGGGTATTCGACCGGCATCCGCAATAAATAATTTTTGCAAAACATTACAAGGCAAATTCATTCAATTCGTCGGCCATGATTTTTTTTTCTGGAATAAAAAATTTGAAATTGTTCACCATTGTTGTTGTTTGAGATTGAAAATGAGAATGTGTGTGAGTTTGAGTTTAGAATTTTTAAATTATATTGCAGGCAAATGTCAGACTGCCCCTCAATTGTTTCACCTTGTTATGTTTTTATCATGGTTCGATCTATAACAGAAACCATATAAATAAAAGTTTCAAAGCATTCACAAAGTTCACAAACACTAATCACACTTCAAAAAATATTCATCAAAATTTCAAACTTTTTATTCAAAATGTGTATAAGATTTTCTAGTATGCAGTTTTGTAGCCCATGCAATTTAAGTGCAATAAAGTGTAAGATACAAGTCGTTAAAAATTATTGTTGATTTTTTAGATTTTTTTTCCTAGATTGTGTTCCGCATTTTATTCCACATAACGCATGATCAAAATCTATTCTCTCTCGGCGGCGAAAGGTTGATCTTAATTGTCGTTCTATTCAAACTAAATAAAGATTTCCTAGCCTATGTCCATTGGCCAACCGAGCTTAGATTGGATAAAATTGGGCTGGCTAACAATTGCACGGCTCTTCAGAGAACATTAAACTATGACCAGATAACTTAGCGAGTGCCTGGAAGCAAAATCAGTGTTGAAAAAAAAATAAGTTTTCTTAAATATGGATATGAATGAACATAGATATGTGTATTAAACTTTTAGATCCGACGTTAAATGCCGAAGATATGACGAAAAATCTTAAAAGGCGACCCCTGCGTTCGACCAAGATTTTTTTTCGACTTCAGACATTCTTAATTTTATTTACTTGTCTACAAGTATTTTATAAAAATTTGAAAATCTAGTGTTTTGTAGTAGTTATTCGAACAATTGCACTTCAGGGCGTATACGTAACCACAATATGGCAGGGGACATAAAGGGCGATGCAAATGTGTACACAGCCATACAAATATGTACATATGTATATGTGTATATGAATCTAGGAAACAAAAGAAAATCAGCCACAAGGTTATTTATTTATTTATGTACATTAGGGTGGTCCAAAAATGCATGTGAAAAAGTTATGTCGGAACTTTAATGCCGTCACCCACCAGGATTGTTGTATACCGAAAAAATAGACCTCTATTTTTTGTTTTGAGATATAAAATTTAGGGAGTGCTCAAAGCGCACAAAGTTTTCTATGTTTTTTATATGGGGAAAACAACTTTTCGCAGAAATGGTGTAGAATTCTTATAAATTTAAAATTTTCTGTCTGTTTCTGCTCTCTGTTGGTCTTCAGGAGATTCCCAATAATAATACTCAATTGTTCCTTTAACCATTTTTTCATTGTAACATATTAATATTGGAAGCTTCCTGAAGAAAACCAGAGTTTTCCGATCGAAAAATATTGATTTTCAAGAATTTTTACCATTTCTACGAAAAGTATTTTTCGCCCATATAAAATACATGGAAATAGGGGTATATTTTTTCGGTTTAGAACAATCCTGGACGGTGCCGGCATTAAAGTACCGACTTTACTGTTTTTGGGCCACGCTAATATACATACATACTTGTTCTTGAAAGGTACATATGTAGGTGCCTACTTTGCTATTTCGAAATATCAGTATATATATACATATATTCGTTTATGTGATATACATATGTAAATACAAAGGTACTTATATATGAGCAATACTCTGTATATACACATATGTATGTATATGTACGTACATCTGCCTCTATGTATGTACATATGTAAGTAGGTTATCATATGAATAGGTCACGCGCTTTGCCACTCTTAGCGTTGTTATTAAATTTCGAAAGCTGTCAAAATGTTATAAATAATTGGCATGCAAAGTTGTGGCACAGCGCCTTGAGGTAGGCAACACAAACAAACAAAACAGCAAAAAATAAATGAAACAAAGCACAATAGTGTTTTAAATAAGCAAAAAAAAAGCAGCTGCCAATAAATTCACTGTCACAACTGACAAATGCGCTTCTTGTAATTGTATTTGAATTTTGTTGTTGTTGCCAGTTTTGTGGTTATACAAAACAAAATTATTCAACTTCACTGTCGACAATGTGCCTCGGTGGCAGCGCGCGCGCGCTTGTTGATTGTCGATTTTTTTCCGCTTAATTGGATGGAAGGGTGAAAGGCCAAAACACAGCGACATATTGACGCGTGTCCTTATGTCTATGTATGTTAATATGTACGTACATACATATATGTATGTGTAAATCTGCATAAGTATAGATTCTTTACACGAGTTCAAGTATTTGTATGAGAAGAAAGTTTGAAGCTGTTAGTCATTTCGTGAATAAGAACTGCCAACAAACCAAAAAGTATGAGGATACAAATATTTTTTAAACTGATTTGAGTAGGATTGCCATATGTTTATTATAAATGCATACGATTTCAAACGATATCTTTTCATAAATTTTTTGTTATAGTCTATAACGTATAGTTTAAAAAATTCCTAGTTGTTTTTTTAAGACTTTCATGAAATTATTAAAAAAAATTTAATGGAAGAAATATTTTAGCAAGCAAATTTGAAATTCTAAAATTGATATTTTTGAATAGACATTTACAAATGGATCTCTATATGAAACTAAAAAATCAGCACTTTTTTTGCGTTTTGAAGAGCTTAGCTAATACTTGCAGAAAAATATTATGAAAGAAAGTTATGCCATCTATTTAATGAAGCGCTTATATGAATTATTCAGTATACAAAAAAAAAACAAACAAACCAAAATTTAAATAATTTTTTGGATGTTTTTTTTTTTTTGCTTTTGCGAACGTCTGACTTTTTATTATATCTACGATTTTTAAATCTAAATTTTTCATATAAAAAATTTTAATTATAAAAATTTTCTAACGACTTTTAAATTTTTATGTAAAAATAGTAGCAGAAAGGTTTGAGCTAAGCATGTCGTTAGGGGTATTCTCGAACTTTTGCAAAGCCCTTGCATGGTGCACGGATTGCACGGTTTCTAAAGCTGTCCCAAAGGAAAACCGGTTTTTACCAAGCAATCCGTGCAACGTGCAAGGGCTTTGAAAGACTTCAAGACCCCTATTTACTTATAAATAATATTATTTTTTTCATAAATGGGTTGCCAAGTTTATGCTTATATATTTTTTTTCTACCAGTGTAACCAAAAATTGGGTTCCATATTTAGCTCTTGAAAATAAATCTTCCACATAAATAATTTTTTTTTCGTGATAAAGCCTGAGACTTGCCACCTAGAGTAGCTCTCAGCGGTTGTTGCGTGGGTACTTGTGTTTGGTTTTTTACATTATTTAAACACAAAAGTTGGGTGACCTTTCGATCTATGCAGACACTAGACGACACAATAAATACCCATACAATTTCTTTCTACACATACGTATTCACATATTTAGGCTTACAAGCCTATGAATTGTGATATTAATATACAGCGGTAATTTAAATCTGAGTCGTATGCAGAGTTTTTGGTATGAGTATGAAATTACCATTGTCATAATGCTTTTTTTCGCTTTCGTGCTTTCTAAAGTCACCAACTTCGTCATCAATGATTGGTAGTTCGTCTTTTGTATTGTGGCTCATCAGAAAGTAGTTTGTTGTTTTGTTGGGCTGGTAATACATACATACGCATATATATATATTTGTACATATATATGTACATTAGGTTGGTCGAAAAATGCATTTAAAAAAAGTAAGGTCGAAATTTTTATGCTTTCACCCCCTAGGACTTTTCGTAGAAATGCTATAGAATTCTGAAAAATCAATATTTTTCGATCGGAAAACTCTGTTTCTCTGCAGGAAACTCACAATAATAATACTCAATTATTTATTTAAAAATTCTTTCATAGTAACTATAATTTATAAATAGGTCCGTTGAAAACCCTCCAAAACCGCGAAAAATGCAAGGGGACAGCATAAGAAAATCGTAAATATTAAATGGTTATATAAACCCAACTAGTATTATTATTGAAACTCTACAGAAGAGAATCTGAGTTTTTTGATCAAAAAAGATTGATTTTCAGGATTCCTATACCATTTCTACGAAAAGTTTTTTCCCATATAAAATACATGGAAATCTCTGAGCGATTCGAGCGACCTCTAAATATTTTTTGATTTCAAAATAAAAAAAAATGGGGTATACTTTTTTCGATGTAAACCAATCCTAGACGGTGAGAGCATTAAAAATCCGACTTTCCTTTTTTTTTTTGGACCACACTAATGTACGGATTCATATGTATGTAGTTTTGTCGAGCCTATTGCATTATGCGGCTTAATAATTCCCTCAAATGTCATGTCCAAAATGCGCAACAAAAGTGGTTGACTTTCTGCTGCATTGGGGTATAGGGTATAGGAGAAGGACGACAATGTGATTGTTGTTTTAGTGGCGCTCAATGCGGAGCAAAATGTGTTGTTTTCAGAAAATTAAGTTTTATTCGAGTATTTGCGGTGCCTTCGAACAGACGACACAAAATAAAAGCGACGCAAAATTGCTAAGTGCAGCAAAAATCTTAACATCAATTTTAGTAGCGAAAAGCGAAGAAAAAAAATACTATATACGCGATTGAGATCAATAAGTAATAAAATCTAAAAATAACTTTTGTTAAGGCTACAACTTAATTACATAAATTAATTTCACAAAAATCATGTCGGACGTCAGCATGGAAGGTGAGGTGAGCAGTTCGTCCTCGAGTCCCGAAAAGCGGCGCTCAACTGTTCCTAATATTTTACCACATCAACGTAGTTTCGAAAAACGTTATAGTCACATGATACACAGACAAATATTGGAGACGGGCGTGAATAAGGAAGCGTTACAACGTCAAATCAACGCATATTTTTCGTGTGGCGGCGGAAAAGCCAGTAGCTCCTCTACTGCTACTGCTGAGGACGATGCCAAAGATAATGTGCCGGAGTCAGCGGATAGAGCATCGGAAACGGCGGAAAATGGTGCAGAAGAAGTTAACAAAGCCGAGGGGCATAAACGATCTTTGGATAAAGCGGAAACTATCGATGTGGCAGAGATACCGGGAGCGAAAGCAACAGCTGACGATTTGTAAAGACTATACATTGTTTATTTTTTCTGTTAGAAAAATAATTACTGACGAGCATCAAAAATTAGTTAAACTACCGCTGGTGTTACTTAAAATAAATTTTATTCAAGTGAAAAAATGTGCTCATCCATTCATAAAAACGCGTGCACGTTTACTTCAAAACTTTTTATTTTTCGCTCTGTAAGATATCTGATGCTAAAGCTGAATAAAATTTGCTACCTTGTTTTCTGTGTAAATGTGATTAAATGAGAGAAAAATAAATTAACTCAAAAGTGTAAAATTTTATATGCCATATTTAGTTGAGCTAAGTTAAGCAATACGTGGAAACAAAACAGACAAGAAATATTTCTTGCCGTGTTGTATTGAAGAGGAAATTATGAAATCGACTGATATAACAGATAGATGAACGGTGCACTTTGCAGGGTCTTGCTATAAACCCCAGTATGACAACCCTTACGCGGTAGAGAAAATTGGAAGGACTCAACATTCCAGAGCTTAGAGGCGTTGTATCTCTCTTGGGTTTTAGGTTCAATGGCAGCGGTCCTTCAATCGGAAGTGTTTGCAATATTGAAAGTAGGAGAATTGATAATTGGTGAAAGGTGGCGCACAGTGATATTTGATACCCATTTTGTGCCCATAATTTAGAAAAAGGAGTATATTCACATGAATTCAGTTTTACAAGTGCTTTTGAGGTCGCTGAATTCGAATCTGAAGGAAAAATAACCCGATTTAAAATGGCGCCTAAAATCTTAAACACAATAATTGATGTTAAAAGTAATAATGGATTCCCATTATTATTATATGATTTAAGAGTTTACGGGATCCAGAATTTCGATTCTGAAATTAAAATAATTTGTTTTTAAAATTCTTATATAAAAACGCTATTGAATTATAACATAATCATGTTTAAGTATATCTTACATGAAATTGGGTTGCTAAAAATTAATTTAAAAAATTCATCTACAGAAAAACTTTCGATATTATATGGTCAAAAATCGCGTCTTAAGCAACGGTCGGAATCAATATTTAGTAATATAATTTAAAATATAATTATCTTGAAGCAAACATAAATTTTTTGTTGGTGAAATATGGAGAAAGAGACTTATGACTTTTTTTAATTGTTTATTGTTATTTTTATTATCCACTTGAATATTTCATTAAATACTAATAAGTTGAAGACATTAAAAAATTTTAAATTATACTCTATACACATTTTACAAAATTAAAATCGATCGCTCCTAAGGCTTGTGGTGTCTTTTAATCTTTAGCTTTACATCTTTGGACATATTTTGTTAGCTAAGACATCATTTTAGCCAACCAAAGAGAATAATACCCTAAAATCGATACTTTATTTTTGGGTTTATGGGCACGAAATGGGGACCAAGTACCACTGTGTGGCGGGGACATAAAATTACGGCCTGATATGAGCTGCTCTTAAAGTCTTGCAAATCACTCGCACCGCATACCCAACAATTTTCAAAAGATTCAAATTAAGAAGATTGAAATTTTGATAAATTTTCCATAAAGTTAAAATCAACACATAACCACTTTTTTGAGTCGCTATATATATATGTACTTGTGGTCATAAGTAGGCGGCGACACGCCCATTTTCCAAAAAGTTATATTAATCTCATTTTTTGCTTTGAGATTATTGCAAATGTCTGTTTTGAGTGAAATCGCTTTAGTAGTTACAGATTTATCGCAGTTTTCGTGTTTCCGTGAATTACGAACTGTTTTATTGGAGATGGGCGTACATTAGTTGAGTACTACCCGATTTCAAAGATTTTCAATAAATATCTTAGCCAGACTGTAAGTGATGTTCGTACCGAGTGTGGTGGGGATTGGTGAGATATAGCATTTTAACAGAAGTGGGCAGGGCCACACCCATATACAAAAAATGTCATAATTGTTTTATTTTATGCCAAAATTGTTTTCAAGAATTTACGGAAATTTCGTAGCTTTTGCGTACCAAATTTCTTTGATATATCTAAATTTTTGTTTGAGTTATCGTGCACACGTACGGACGACGGACATAAAGTCATGGCTTAACCGACTTCTTTCTTCATTCTGAGCACTACAAACACCAATCTATTATTAGTATTATAGAGTCTAGACATCTTCGATTATACTCTGTGAAATACCTTAAATTTGGGATCCCCGCAAAACTCATACGCCTAAGTAGATTTTCTTTGTAGACAAAGGCAAAGTGACTTACTTTCATACAGAGAGACCTATAGCGCTGAATAAGGGTTAAGATAACAGAATAACGATACAGCAAGTTACGAAACAATGGATATGCTGTCGATGTAGAAGAGGAACTGGAATTGAGATGACCTCCACTACATACGTCAGGTGGGAAATGTGCAAGAGAGACAAAAAAAGTTAAATGTTCAGTAAATGTAAACTAAATATTTGCTGCATTACTTGTCGGCAACTTTCAAATAGCGTATATTTGTGTACACAGAGAAGTACTAATCAAATCCACGCACAATCAAATGAATTGCAGTCAACATATAATTGGAGGACCAATTATATCGTAACCGCCGTTTAAAGTTATGTACATATGCAGGAGTTTGTGTGCTTAAAAGTAATAAATATATAGACGCCCCATTACACGTCCTTTCACTATGAACATACACACATTAAATAAACTTCGAGTTGTATTTGTCTGAGTTATTAGCCATCCACGCACTTCCGACGGCGCTACGGTTGAGCTAAGCAATCTAACACTCAAGCTTCCGGAGATGGATGAGCGTTTAACTGAGGAGGGGATGAGGAAATCAATTAAACAAACACGCTTCACATGTTTCTTCATACAAATTTATATGTATAGCTACGGTGACCATATTTATGGCTGCCGAATGCGGGACAAAAAAAAATTTTGCTTTTTTTCCGCAAAAGCTAGAGGATTTTAAAACCTTTTTCAATCGGCCCTATGCCGAATTCAGCTTTCATCTTTTCATCTTTCATCTTTTGTGAAAGCAGCACATAAATATTCAGTTGTAACATCACACATTTGTCGAATATTTTTCCATAACTTTGTACTTTGTTCTCGGGATTTTTATCCGCAAAATTTGCCACAAACATTCCTACGCGGTAAAACACGATAAAATATCCGACTACTTTTGAAGCACGAGTGGTATCCACAGAGAGAAAATTCGGGGGCCCGGACAAAAAATCACGGACCCCTAAAGATAAATTGTATTAATTTAAAAGCGTGTAATCATTTTCTTTAATGTATAGAGTCAGAAACAATCAGCACGAATCGGAATATATTTATAATAAAAGCTATAACGAAGGAGGAAATACATTGTAAAAATAATAATAACGAGTTATGGTACTGATATTTCAGGCCCCTTAAAAAGTCCGGGCCTGGGGGGATTCACCCCTTTTCCCCCTTCCCGACGGGCCTGGGTATCCAACGGATTATTTTCAGACTCGGATTTCGGCCAAGCACCATCTTTGAGAACTTCTTTACTTTTACAACATTCTCATGGTAGCCTCCTTATTTGCAGTTTCTCATGCTGAATAAGCAATCCCTCATACAATCAGCAAAATTTGTTTGCCGTAGTTTCACCTAATGAATATATTCTCCCTTCACAAAATTTGAAAATTGCCTCTCCACACCACGGCTTATTGGACAAGTAATTGTACCCGAGAAAAAACATCAAGCTGTGCGCATTTCCTTTATTTAAAGGCGAAATTCTCGACAAAAGTAAAATCAGCTGCTCTATTGCTGACGCAAAATTATTATAACTTCAGAAACCATCTACACATGTGCTTCCCTTATAATACAGGACGAATGGTCACCGTATGTATAGCACATAAATGTATGCATGTGAAACGGTCAGCATGCAGCATTAAGTATAGTACATACAAACACACTTTTCCATGCACCAAATCGGAGGAGTCCAAAGGCCAGCTTATTTGAACCCATATAAAGCCCGTTGTTGTCAGTTCATTTGTCGTGACAGTAAATCGAATCGGAAAGTGAAGTACTTATGTCAAGTGGTTGGACATAATGAAACGGACAGCACTGTTAAAGCGCCACAGCCAACTACTTGAGTTGGTCAAAAGTGGGCAGAGTCGGAGCGAACGAGATTATAAAGGGTGAGGAGAGTAAGAATGTAACGTAGGCGAGCCGTAACTACAAATGCTGGAATGGCAAGCTATCGTCGAGGTACGAGTATGTTTGCAATTGGCAACACTTGAACGCCTCAATATCATGCAGCCAATTCCCCCAAGCGCTCACACACTGAAGCACGCACATAGCCGAACAGCAATGTAAAATCATTGGCATTCAAGTAGAAATGATGCATTGAAATCGAAATGGACGACAGGATAATATTGTGTGTGTATTGTGGTGGGGGAAGCTGTTAGGCGAAGTTGAGAGTAGCATTGAAAATAGCTGAAGTGGCTGGCATTACAAATTCATAGCAAAGTGTTAAAAAAATGTATGTAAAAAGTGCGTCTGCTAGCATAGATGTGCTTGTATGTATGTTTTTGTGGGGGTAAAGCGAATTTTCATTTGACAAAGCAACAAGTGGCTAAAAGTTCTATTGTCGTCTTTACAGGCATTTAGCGGAAAGGAATTGCGCTGGTGTAAGCAGGGTTTTTTGTGTTTTTTTTTTACACAAATATATTTCCAAAACTATATTTACACAAAGTCAAAAGAAAAGTTCACAAACTTATTTATAACTCATAGAGGTGTATGTGTGTAGTAAAAAGTACAGTGTATACTCCTCTATTAGAAACAATTGAAAATTAATGAACTGATCAAGAACTCAAAATAATAGGGATCGTAACGGTTATAATCTTTACAATTCAAACTGTAATTTAACCTCGAATAATCATTGTTTTTGGATTTTTATTTTTTCAATCCTACTATAACCGTTATTTTCAGATTTAATTTTTTAGATCACAAAGATTTGAATCGATCATTAAAACGCATTATAACGTTTAAAAATTATGGAAAAAATTCAGGTTGAAAAAAATCAAGAAATAACGTTTTTGCAATGATCAAAAAATCTTGATATTTAACGGTAATTTTCGGACCATGCCAATCATTGCTAGAAAAGCATGGGCTCGAACCCAGACACAACGG